CTTCCACAGCCCCTTCCAGGAGCTTCCTGTCACCTCCAATTCCACCTCGGGGCTGAGTGGCCTTGGGCCACCTCCATTGTGGCTGGGCATCTCTGTGGTCCAGGCAAGCACCAACTGCAGGAGCCCCAGACAACATCTGACTAAGCAGATGGGGGTAGGGGAAGCAAGGAGGCCTCCTGCAGAGGCTGAAGTCAAGTATCTGAGACCTCAGTGAAACTCCCCCCGCCAAGAGCAATCATACCCATTGCTGTTCCCTGAACACCTGCCACTTCCCAGGCACATGACCTCGTTTAATCCTCACAACTGCTCAAAGAAGAGGGGACTATTATTACCTCCAAAGCCATTCAGCCAGGAAGTGACAGCTGGGATGGAAAGCCAGGTGTGTCTGATTCAGGGTCCTACTGAGTTGTGATTTTTGACATGGGACCCTAAGTCCCTTATCTCAACTCCTGTATCTCCATCAGGGGGGTGTCAGGGAAGGCTTCCTAGAGGAGGTGACACCTACACTAAATCTCCTAAGGAGACAAAAAGAATGTAGTCAATGACAAAAAGAATGTAGTCAATGAGGAAGTAGAGTGTCCCAGGCAGATGAAATGGCCCATACAAAGGTCTGGAGGTGAGAGGCAGTAAGGAGGAGGTGAGAATGTGAGAGAAGCTACAATTTGGTGTCACAGGCTCATAGGAAGAGGGAGAAAGAGACTTCCCTCTGTTCCCCACGTCCCTCTGGAGGGACGTGGGCAACAGAAGCCACTCACAGAGCGCCAAAGCAGAGGTCTGAGTTGGCTTTATCCTCTGGACACTTGGGAGCCCTGGTAGGACTGTAAATGGCGGAGTTGCTGGTCAGATGAGGTCACTGAAGTTCAGAGAAGACCAGCGCTGTCTGTCAGATGGTTCTCTCCACCAAAGGAGATAAAGCGGGGCCTGGCGTTAGGGGTGCGAGGCCAGCCGCACACCGAAGGCCAGATGTGGGCCGTAGCACCAGCCAGAAGCTTGGCAGAGCTTTATTACTGACAAGGCTGCTTCCCAGCAAGCCGCAGCACCCCAGCAGACTGGCCTTCCCGGAGAATGAACTTGGCCATGGGAGGCCTTGCTGCAGCCACTCTTGATTAAATCTAGGATGGAGGGCGATGGGGCTGGGACAGCAAGGGAACCGAAAGAAGCCCGGACAAAGGGGGATACACGAGCACAGAACCGGCCCCCCTGGTGCCCCACCTTTCAACAAGAGAAGCACAGAATTCTTCCCAGAGGGGAGGTGAGGAGGATGGGGAGTCTAGGGGAGGGGCCTTAAGAAGCCACTCAAGATGGGGAAAGACCGGGGAGGACCTGCCCGACGGCACCCGGGAGTGCCCCACAAAGGGGCACCTGCTTCACACAACCGCAGCTTTACACCCGTGGGCCCGTTCCCTAGCCCCTCTGTGTGTCTAAAGTGGCACTAATGCAAGTACTTCAGAGGGTTGCCCTAGTTTATGGACCACAGGAATACAAGCTGATGCGTGTTCAGTCTCCGCAGTGTCCGCTCCTCCACAAATCCTCAGGACGTGTGAATTGGTGGTGGTGGTGAAGGCTGCCCAGAGACCAGGATCCCTAACTCTATCCCCAGAGACCAGGGAGCAGCAGGAAACTGAGGCCAAGGGGCCGGCTGGCCTACGTGACACAGGTCCACAGCCAGGAATCCCACCCAACTTCCCCAGGCTGGGCCACCCTGGGCTTCCTTAGGCCCGGCCCTCCGGCGTCCAGATCCTTCCTCCACTTTGAAGGTCCTTTGAGCTGGGAACTGAAGCCCCACGAACATTTCCCTTCCCCATTGCACCAGCTCTCTCTGAGCCCTCAAAGGCCAAGTCCCACCCACTGTGAATGAGAATCAGGATTTAGAAGGTCTTGGTTTGGGTTCTAGCTCTAACCCCTCAGAGCTCTGTGACTTTGGGGGAATAACTTCACCTCTGTGCCTGTGCCTCTCTAGTACAGAGACCATACCACCTTTTTAAAAATGATAAACCTGGCCGGGCTCGGTAGCTCAACCTGTCATTCCAGCACTTTGGGAGGCTGAGGTGAGAGGATTGCCTGAGCCCACGGGTTCGAGACTCCCTCAGGCAACTTGGCGAGACCTCGTCTCTACAATAAATCAAAAATTAGCCAGGCATGGTAGCGCGTGCCTGTAGTTCCAGCTACTTGGAAGGCTGAGGCGGAAGGAGGTCGATGCTGGGGTGGCCGTGAGTGTGCCACGACACTCCAGCCTGGGCGACAGAGTGAGACTCCAACTCAAAAAAATAATAATAAAAAACAAAAATGATAAGCCCTAAGGAAATGGTATTTGTTGCTATCTTTCAAGGTCTAGCTCAGCTGTCTCTTCCTCCAGGAAACCTTCCCTGGCCTCCTCAAAACAAGAGCTCCCTTCCGTCAGCCTCCATCAGCCTCTTAGTGTCTGGCCCTTTTGGGAGCTTGGCCTCATGCCTCACACAGACTTTATCTACAAATTCCAGCCCCCACTGGCAGGCCCAGAGAGGTACAGAGGTGGGCAGTGTAGGCCCTCTTGCAGGGTGACGCACCAAAGGAGGTGGTCAGGGGTAAGGCAGGGAGGCTGCTCTGGGAGGGGAGAATGGTTCCAAGAAACTCAGTCTGGGCAGGTGGCCCAGGATGGGGGCTAGCCCTCAGATGGGGAGGAAGGGCTGAGGGAAGAGCATTTTCCAGCACCTGGCCCAACACAGCCACCCAAAGCCCCACCCCGTTTCTTCCATTTCCCTCTCTGGCTACTAGGAGCCCATCTCTAAAGACCTGGGGGTGGGAACACACCCATTCCCTGCTCCTCACAGCCCTGGGTGAAGCCTGCCTGCGTCTCTAACTGCGAATAAGGCACTCTACCCCCCTTTGGCAGCGGAAATAAGTTCAGAAAAGTGAAGCCATGTGCGACTGGCAGTTGGTACTATCAACAAAGCCACCACCTCTCCACCCAAGTCCTTGACATGATTTGCTGTTGTTCAGGAACTCTCTATGACCCTACCGCCTCCATCTCAGAACCAGAGCGGGAGCCCAGACTGGCCGTCAGAGCCTCCTGGCCCTAGGGGGACCCCCAGCCACCCAGCCACTTTACTCCTCCATCTTGCCCAAAGCCTTGCTGGAGATGACATGCGGCAGGTCCAACATTTAAAGTACGACTTCCAGCTCTTAGATCCCATGCCCGGGTCCTTCCCTACCACACTCCCCACGGCAGCAGATCCCCTACAAGGATACAGGCAGAGATCCTGATCAAGTTCCGTCATTCTGAGCTGTGTGACCTTGGGCAGAGAAAGCAACTTCACCGAGCCAGCGTCTTTATTATAAACTAGGAAGACAAGAAAAGCTTCTGCTCTTCAGCCACCCCCACAGGCTGTGGTGAGAAGACTGTGATGAGAAGCCTGGAGATAAGGTATAACCAGGCCAGGAACTCAGCTACTACTTCCCTGCCCCTTCTCATACTCCCACTCTAAAGGGACCACAGAAGAACTCCCAGTGCTGAAATTCACCAGACTGTGTACCCAGGCACAGTCGATTTCATAACTTGCAGGAGCACGGGAAATGGTCCAGAGTCACAATTAGACGAAGAACTCAAGTCAGATGCTCAAGTTCACGGTCCTAATTAGTAACCCAGCAGCTAGGGCACAAGTGACTTAACTGCTTAGTGCCTCGGTGTTTTGGTCCGTAAAGCAGGGCTACTGTGAAGGTGAAAGGAGTTTATGTAAGTACTTACCACAGCGCTTGGCAGTTAGTGGTCAGCACACTTTACTCTCATTACTTCCAGTTACATGTCTAGAACCAGTCCTCCAAATAGTCCTGGGAGATTGCCAGGGAAGGAATTATTAGACCAAGTGGTCAGGCGAGGAAACTGAGGCAGGAGGGAATAATGTGCCCAAGTCACAGATACAGGTTTGGATTGGTCTGACGTGAACCAGGAGGCTGACTAGTAAATACAATCAAACCACTCAAGGATTCAACAGAGGGGGTGCCTGTCCACCATCCTTGTAGCCTTCCCGGGCACTGTGTGGAGCTGTGGGCCTGTCTACCCGTGGCCCTCTCCCTCAGACCCTGTCTGCGCTCCCCGGCTGGCGGGCCTGGCCTGTTCTGGAGAGTGCCCAGCGCCTGGCACACCGCAGCTAGATGCTCAGCCATGAGTGAATGACTGCCTTAGTCTACGACTCTAGAAGTGCCATGTTTCTTTTCCAGGAACCACACTCCTTCCACGGCGGCAACTACCGGCTAACTCGCTTCCGGTCCCACAGACACCCCGCGCACCCTGAGAAGGAACTTCAAGATCGGTTGCGCCTGGGGTGTGCAGACGCAGGCTGCCCTGCACACGCCCAGGGCTGGCCCTGCACACGCCCAGTGGGACCGCTTCCAGGAAACAAGCCCTTCCTCTAGGTCCCCCCCTTCCTGGTGTGCCCCATGACTCATAGCCGGGCCAGGCAAGCAGGAGAGCGCGGTCTGCTAACCAGGGTGGCTCAAAAGGGTCTCGACGGTGACTCGGCAGAAAAGCCGCGGCGACGGCGCCCAGGCCCCGCCTGCACCTACCGCCGGGGATGCGCGTGGGGGAGCGGCCGGGGCGGGGCCCGGGCAAGGACCCAGAGCCCAGGGCGCCCGAATCCTACGCGCCCGCCGGCTCCGCGATTGGCCGCTCTGGCCACGGGGACCGATGGGGTGGTCCTCACCCAGCCAATCAGGGGCCCCGGGGAGCCCATTCATTCACAAAAACCAAGCAGGAAAAGGAGCGCAGGGCGGCCCCGAGCTGCGTGGAACTTTGAAACTGGCGCGCGTCGCGTGGGGCCGGGGCGGGAGTCCGAGGGAGCCGTATCGCCGGGAGCCA